ACTTGAACCTATATGGGATACGATATGCATAGTAAAGACTAACTTTATTTATTCATATTGGATTCAATTTCAAGGGACGCACTAAATATCACGTATAAAACCGTTTCGACATGTCATTTAATGAATGGATGATCGATGATGTGACACTTTTATCCAATAGAGAAAGGCGTCACACCATCACACTGGGTGATTGACCGTCCAATCATTGTGGGGTGGTGTAACAGATTTCATCTTTGATCTTGGACCTCGAGACCATTTGCTTTCATCCGCATATTACAGGCTTTTTTCCTCGGAAAAAAAATGGTGAATTTGAAAATTCTCGTGGGTAAGCAATCGATGTCCGATTGATTGAAATTATCATCTGTTCCACTATGCAATATTATACAATTGGATCTATTTTTTTTTTCAAATCCGTTTCTTTCTCGACCACCCCGAGTGTCTTTATTTGATTCTTTCAATCTTTTTCTATTGTTTTCATCTATCCTAAACCCTTCATATCTCCTGTCATATACAAAGGATGCAAGAGAGTCATAGACTACGCGGTAAAAATAAGGGTTAACGCCGCAAAGACTGCTGTAGAAACTGCCAGTGTAAAACACTCGCTCAATCCATTTGATGAAATTGCAGTCGAGGAAGCAATCAGGTTGAGAGAGCGTATGGGTCAGGACAAGGTATCCGAGATTATCGCTTTGTCTTGTGGCCCACCGAAGAGTCAAGAACAGTTGAGAACTGCCTTGGCCATGGGGGCCGATAGAGCCATACACGTTGAGGTCGCCGAAAACCAAGTATTGGAACCTTTGGGTGTGGCTAAATTATTTAAGGCTATAGTGGAGAAGGAAAATCCGAACTTGATAATCTTGGGAAAACAGGCAATTGACGATGATGCCGGTCAGACTGGTCAAATGCTGGCAGGCCTGTTGAATTGGCCTCAGGTATTGTGAGATGTGTTTGACTACTTCTTTTATTTCTCAATCGTATTAAATTATTAACCAATAATTAACTGCAGAATTATTATTATTGATCGATTGATTGATCGGTCGATTGTTCACTCTATTATGTTTAATGAAGGCTACCTTTGCTTCGAAGGTTGAGGTCGGCGAGGATAAGATCACTGTAACACGTGAAGTGGACGGAGGTAGCGAAGTAATTAGCAGTAAACTACCAGCTCTTGTGACCACCGATTTGCGGTATCATTATTTATTTTAATTCTTAAATCGCACACTCTAATTATTTTATTTTTTTTAATTACGTTGGTTATTATTTTGACGCATAGATTAAATGAACCTCGATTCACAACACTCCCGAATATCATGAAAGCCAAGAAGAAACCTTTAACTAAATACACTCTTAAGGATTTAAATGTGGACGTTAATCCAAGATTGGAGGTTCTTTCCGTGACGGAACCACCAGTTAGAAAAGGTGGCACCACGGTCGATTCTGTAGATGATCTGATCTCTAAACTAAAATCGACTGGTGCTTTGTAATAGAAAGTAAAATAAATATTTATCTTTTCATCTTACCAAATAATATCACCAATCGTCAGAGTCATGATATTCTTGTTTGGGAAGTGCCATGTCCTGTTCTTCAGGTTCGGTGATACCCATGGAAGGATATGTGGTTTCTAAACATTCATAATGTCATATTATTTGTCTTAATGAAAATATTGGGTGTCTGCGATAGATGGTGAACTAGCTTCAGATACCTTGATATACTTCAACATCCGGCTCTTGACCGTGCATCTCGTAATCGTCAACCTGATATTCTAGGTTTTCCTCGTTCTCGTATTGGTCCTCTGCATTTTCCATTGGTGGTTGGTCCAAATCGGTCCAACGATAACCACAATGTATATTTGCGCATGCGTAGTATAAGCTCATCTTTGTATCAGAGCGGCGAGTTTGAGCCTCGAAGAATACCGCAATGTTATATCCGCATTGACTACATTTTTTCTCTTTGCGTGCCTACATTACAGTAAGAAACCGTTGAGCGTTTGTTCTTGGAAGGATGGAAATGACGGAAGTGATTCCACTAAGATTATCATTACCAAGGTCGGATCCGCTGCCAAATCCTTGATTATTGAGATCTTTTCACTATTTTTTTTTTTGAATGTGACAAAGTCGAGATCATATATTAAACATATAATCAAAGGATTTTGGTGAACCTCAATCTAAAAAAAAAACCCCCCAACTTCTTACTGCGATGACTAACCTGGCGGCATTCTGAACATCATTCCTGTAGACGCAAAAGTTTATGGTTTCCTCTTGGTAAATACAGTTTCGACAGGCGTATAGAAGCCTCTTATTTTCCTTGTCTTCTCTTGGATATAACAAGTTACTACTGTTATGATGCAAAAAGATGTGTTAGATTAGAAGTTGCGAGAAAAGTGTTGTATAGTAATTTTTGATATTTACCATTGGGAGCAAAACTTGAAAGTAGCCATATTCCTAGTTCATGACCATTCGGAAACAAACATGCTTATAGGTTGAATTTGTTTGTAATGCTGGTAAGGCAAGGATTTTCGCAAAATAAATGTTGAGCATTTATCTATAGATAATTCAAAAATTATACAATCTGATGCACAAGTAAACTTTTATTTTTACTTATAATTACCATGATAAAACAATATATATACAGTATATATCAGTTAGAAAAGAGTTTGATAAATTTTTTATTTTTTAACTTGTTAGAATTTTTTAAAAAATTATATTTTATCAGATGGTATTAAGCAACCATAAATATCTACTTAGTATTAAGAGAATTAGAATTACAGTTGAAAGATGAGAATGTTAGACTATAGATATATTTAGAATAGTTATATTCAGATTGAATAAATATATTAGTAATGATAGAAAGCAAATCAATAATAATATTTTCTTATAGATTAGTATTGAATATATCTTAACTTATAAGATATTTTTATTTTTTGGTTTGAAAAAATTAAACAAACTAAAAGATTCAATATGACTTCACTTAATTTTGATGAGAAGTAAGATATTAGTTATAAAACAGTATGGTTTTTAGATCAAATCATATAATTGAATTAAGAATTCTATTGCTGTCTTGATTTAATTAATAAGAGTTAAAGTAAAAAAGATTTTATTTGTTATTTTATATAATAATTCAATAACTTGCCATATATGTGAAATAGATTTGTAGTTATTATTAAGATAAAAAACTTGATTAATAGTTTTGATAATTTAATTAATTACTTATGAAGTTTCAGTATATTTGAAAACATATTAAATATCTTTAATATAAAACTTATATCTTGGATAGAAAGTATTTGGATATAAATAAACAAATACTTAACTTGATTTGATTCCGTACATAATATTTTTCTCAAAAAAATTTTTTTATAGTAATTTTTTTCAAGATTAAAAAAACAATTATTTTTTTCACCTTTTAATATCCAAAAGTCCTCTATACTTCTTTTATTTTTACTACAAAAATCTCAAGAAAACTAAAGAAATATACTGGTGTATTGGGATGAGACCTCTGATTAAGAAAAAACAAGTTTGAAGAGCTTTTTTTTCTTTTGAATAGCATGAGGAAAGACTTGTAATAGTTGCTTCTTTATAAACTTTCCTTGAGATTCTTTCAATTTTTATTTTTTATTAATATATACTTCTTATTAAATAAATAAATTTTCTGCTTGAATGGCTTCTCTTTTATTCAAAAAATTAAACTTTACTTCAAAATTGTCTATATTGTTGGTTTGGGACATTAGCAATATATATAATATCTACTTCTCAACATCACTTAATATACACTGCTACATTACAAAAATTCAAAAATTTTCACTTAAAAAATTTCTTATCAAAAAACCACAATCAATTCATTCCTGTCAATTGATCACTACTTCAAATTCAACTAATTAAATACTACCAAACATTAAAACAAATTCATATCACCAGTGTACCATATAATAATCAACATAAACAAACCACTTTTAGTAATAACAATCAAAACAAAATTACTTTATCACCAAACAAACCAATTATCATATTAACTACCAAACATATCAACACAACAATAACAACTATTATAACAATAAACAGTATCATATATACTCTCTATCATTTATGATAATTAAAAAACTGGAGAGATAGAATTACAAGCCTATCTGGGAGTTCTCTTGAGAAAATAATTGATTTTCTACTTATAGATTTTACAGTCTATCTGATCCAGTTTTAGTTTTAGTAATGTTTAAAAAAATCATATCACTGACAATTAAACTAATTATTATTTCAACTATCAAATATATTAATACAACATTAAAAACAACAATAACTATTATAACAACAAACAACATTACATATACTTTATTATCTATAATAATAAAAAAGCTAGAGATAGGACCATGAGCTTATCTGGAGGCTCTTTTAAAGAAATAATTGATTTTCTACTTATAAATTTTACAGTTTATTTGACTTAGTTTTAGTTTCTTTTCTAGACTATACTTTTCAAGAATTTATATCATATAGATATCTTTATATGTATTGTTTTTAAAAAGTTTTTTAAAGTACTTTGCAATTTTTGATAAATTTTTTTATGTTGTAATATCGGCTGCTAACTGTAGTATTAATTGGATCTAATAATATTTTACCAAACATCAAAAACATTATATTTCAAATTGTGAAAACAAAGTATTATAATTTGATTAATATTATTTTAAAAACTATAAATATAGTATTTAATTTTTTTCGAAGTATTATACAGATTTTAAAATATACCAATTAATAAATATATTTTTCATAATATATTTTCAACACTTTTATAATAATCTATTAAAGAATTCTAAACATTTATAACTAAAAAAATCCTTTGTTTTTTTATAATATTTTGTAGGTTCTGAATAAACTTTTTTAATAAATAGTTTTCTTACAAAAAAAAATTAATTAAAGTCTTCAAAGTAATCTAAAAATAAATTTTTTAATTTTCAATTATTTGTAATCCAATATATTGTAATTCCTAAAAATAGAAAATATTTACCAATATCCAAGTATCTAAAGTAAATAAAATTCTATTAAGTATTTTCTATAAAAATTATATAAAATAAATATAAAATTATTTATATAAAATTTATATATTACAATTACTTGTAAAAATTGTTGCATTTTTTTTTTATTTTTATTTTATACCAACATAATTATCTAGCTAAAAGTTGTACTTAATAATAATATTTACATTTATCAAAAATAATGTTATATCATATTATTATTATTATTTTTTTTTTTTTTGTAGATAAACATCATTTCTTTATTTGGTTTGTATATAACAGAATATATATCATAAAAGAAACAATATCTCTCATGTGTTGATACAATGAGTTAAATGCTAGCTTGCCTACAGTAACCATATGACTAATATTGAAAAGAAAATTTAAAATAATATATCTTGCCAGATGGCACTGAGCAGCTATAAATATCTACTCAATATTAGAAGAAGTAAAATTAAAGTTGGCGATAAAGTTGTTAGATTATAAATACATTTGGAATAATTATATTTAGATTGAATAAATGAGTTAGCAACAATAGATGATAAGTCAATAATGGTGTCTTTTTGTAAGTTATTATTAGATTTGTTTTTGTCTTGCAAGATGTTTTTGGTTTGCTGGAATTGGTTGAATTATAAGGTTTGACATTATTTCACTTGATTTTAGTAAGAGATGAAGTGTTGTTTGTAAAGCAATATGGTTTCCAAATTAGGTCATATAATAGACTTAAGGATTCTATTGCTGCCTTGATCCAGTTAGTGGTGGTTGAGGTAAAAAAGATTTTGTCTGTGAATCCACATAACAGTTTGATAACTTGCCATATGTGTGATATTGATTCATGATTACAATCTGAATGAAGAATTTGATTGATAGTTTTGATGATTTGTTCAGCTGCTTATGAAACTTCTGTGCATTTAAAGACATGTTGAATATCTTCAGTGTAGAGTTCACATCTTGGACACCAGATATCTAGGTATTGATTAGGATATAATTGATGAAGTATGAGACAAGTTGGAAGAGTTCCTGAGAGCAGTTTAATTCTAAAGGTCACTAAGATACTGTATTTGTTGTTATGAAGTTTTCTAATATTTTTGTTGGATTGGTTGATAACTTTTAGACCATGTAGAATATGTGTTCATTCAAATGTTTGAATAATGAAGAGCTTTCGCATACCATGTAGTCTTTAGTAATACTAAAAATTTTCTTGCACTACTGCCTAGGCAGGTGTTGTTAATTAGAGAATTTTCAATGTTATATCATATTAATTAATAGTTATATCCAACTTTTATCAAGATTACTTCAAATAACAATATTTGCTGTAACTTGTTTCTAATTTGTATTAGGTATAGTAGCTAATCTACTGAATAAAAAAATTTCTTTGTTTAATCAATAGTATATATTTTTACTAGTAATTAAGTTTTATTTCTATTAAAAAAGGATTAAAGGAAAGTTGAAAGAAGGTATTAGGGGTAAGGATGGGTCCCTAAACTATTTAGCATATAAAATTTTGCAGATTAATTATGTCCCTTTTGAAAGGACATAATTATTTATTCATTACTTTAATAGGAACATAATTCAAAAAACACTTGAATCAAGTGTCCTAAATTGCAAAAAATCTTTGTAGGTAGTTTTTTTTTAACCCTTATATTAAAAAAAAAAACTTTTTTAATAGTGAGGGACATTTGAATTATGTCCTTGTCTTTAATTTAAGGACCCATCTTTAATTAGGGGTAATATCTATGACAAATAAAATTATATAGATACTAATTGCTCTATTGGAAATAAATTCTTTTACTACTATTTACAGTTGAATTAATTATTTAATTTCTTATCTGTTCAAATAATATTTAAAAACATTCAAGATAGACCTATAACGAGGACTCTAAAAAGTATTAAATTGATATTGAACTAATATTGAAATGATACTAATCTATAGTAAATTTAATATATAAATTATGACCTACTTATATGATTTTATAATAAATTTAAGTATCAAACTGATATTGAAATAGTATCAAAGTAGTATTGTTAGGAGTCTTACTTATAACTGATTCTTTTTACCTGAACAGTAACTTATGTAATTTTATATGAAACTAATTTTATTGCCAGATGTTTTCTTTGGATATGTATCATCAAACCAGTTTATTATTGGATTAGAATAAGACTAGGACAGGATTTGCATAAAAGATATCAGATATTAGAAAATGATTATCAAACCTACTTATCAAAAATAAATATCTCATATATCTTGTAACTTCTAACAATTATCATAATACTAACTAGACAATTATTGTGCCACAACACTTTTTCTGAAAATTACAATCATAATATTTACTAAATTAGTGTATAAAATAGTTTCTTATAAAAAACAATATTTTTACAAGTTATAGTATCAGATATTTTATTAATTCTATTTAATCATACTTATATGGAATTAAATTGAT